TCAGTGTGAATGAAGTAATCATTCTTGTAAAACAGATTCTATAACTTTAAGAAAATATTTGCAAGTAACTGTAACATCTACCTTAAACATCTAAGTTTTATTTAAACAAAATATGCCAATCTGTGCTCTTAGCATGTCATTTAATGGATTTGATAAATTCCAATATAATATTATATGTAGCAGAGTCTTAGCTTATAACAACATTATTATTTGATCTCTATAATCTGTTGACCTTAAGATTATTGTTATATTTTTTGTCTTGTTTATTTTGCGTGCTGTAAACCTACTTTTCTGCAGTTCACATTCTAAGAGTGAATTGTGACAGAAGATACGAGTTAAGGTGTTGGAAGAACATAACAGTTTTTGTAAGTGAATAACAGTCTTCTCCGTTTTGAAACTTTTAGGGAAGAATGAGACACGAGAAGGTTCATCAGATCTACACCAAACTGACAGAAATTACAGACATAGATCCCACTTTGGTAAGCTTTCAAAACGTAAAGTGTTATTATCATCAATAAACTTTTCAAATAAAAACAAAAAATCCAGCTTTTAGGACAGCTAAGAAAATTTTGGATTTTAAAGACAGACAGAAACCCTAATAAAGTTATATTCTAGATGAACTTTATCTTATAATTACTAAAAGGGAAATGCTGTTTTTTATTTACCAGACTTAATAAACAAGTATATTTCTCAAGGTAATTAAACAGAACGCTCTGGTGTTAAAATAAGATATTTTGTGTGTTACAATAAACCTACCATAACGAAACAGAAACGTGATTGTCTGCCATTAGGATGCTTTAAAAACATGTCACTGTTACAGGTGTTTCACAATTTTATGATGACAAACATTATAATGTCAGAGTTCACAGAGCAAACATGATGTTACAGTTATTGAGTGGATGAAAAAAATGTAATCATATATTTTTTTCAAGTATTTAAATTGTGCGTGTTCTCACCTCTTCAAAATCAGCATACGCAAAATACAGCAATTGGTTAGTTTTCAATAAAGTTGTAATTGCTCGTTCATAGATGGCAGCAGCTTCATCACTAAACATCTTACCAGCATTAAGGTCCTGCAGAATATAAATATTTAACTAGTAATGTACAGTTCAAAATAAAAGAGGCATCAAAATATCAGGTTAAGTTTAATCTATGCTGAGGAATGCTTGCATTTTTAAACATAACTGAGTTAACAAAATAATATCGGAAACTCCATATTAGAAAGTTAATAAACGTTTTTACATATTTGCTCTAGAAAAATTCTCAGAAAATAACCTTTACACTCAACTTAATTGTTACACCTAAAATAACTGTTACATCTAAGTTTAAAGTTAATGTACAGAATACAAAGACCACAATTGTGACTCTTTGACCTTAGAAGGATTCTACACAATAGCGAATTCTTACCCCTTTCTCTGTCAAGAGTTTACTAGACTGTTCCAGAAACAGAGCGGACTCATACCACATGTCTGGATGGTGTCCGAGACACAAGAAGCACTGCTCGTAGGCAAACATTACTGCAAAGAAATCAACATATCCTATAAGGAAACATAAATCTCAAAATTACCCTACGTTTTTGACTATTTTAAACACTACGTTTGAGTTCACAATTCCAGAAACTGGAGCCAGCACTGGAGAAGACTTAATAGTCAACAGAGAAAACATTTACTGGAGATTGAGACCTATTTCCAGTCTCTTACTCATTCATGTAAGATTTCTTTTGAGCCACATATTATTTAACTTCGAATAACAACGGCTGCTGATTTTTATATTTTCAGGTGGTAATAGTAATAAGCCCGAACTCAACCCTGAAAATATCTACGTTTGACAGAAATGTGGTGAATAATCTTGAGTCCCGAATCATGAGTCTCAACAATTATATCTATTAATTAAAAGGTTTGTAAAATTCAGAACAGAGGTGGCACTGTCACTCTTGTATCTTTTACGTCAATACTTGGGGTTTCAAATTGTCTTTTATTTAAAAAGAAAATTCCTGTTTACTAAACTAGACATTTTTTAATCACACAATGATGTGTAACATAATTCTTGGATGTTAAGTATTCTGTATCTTACATTAACACACATTAACTACCAGTAAGTATTTTGTATCTTACATTAACACACAGTAACTACCAGTAAGTATTTTGTATCTTACATTAACACACATTAACTACCAGTAAGTATTTTGTATCTTACATTAATGCACATTAACTACCAGTAAGTATTTTGTATCTTACATTAACATGCATTAACTACCAGTAAGTATTTTGTATCTTACATTAATGCACATTAACTACCAGTAAGTATTTTGTATTTTACATTAACACACAGTAACTACCAGTAAGTATTTTGTATCTTACATTAACACACATTAACTACCAGTAAGTATTTTGTATTTACATTAACACACATTAACTACCAGTAAGTATTTTGATATTACATTAACTAACACAGTAACTACCAGTAAGTATTTTGTATCTTACATTAACACACAGTAACT